CCTGACGTCACAGCCAATCCCACCTCCCAACTGGATGCGATAACAGATGTCGATACGAACAGACAGTGGTCGTTGCGCTCTCGTAGAGGGTAGACGTTAGGCAGACAGTCCTCGGCCGCCTGCGTGTCACCATCGATAGCGAGGCTAGAGCGATGCGTTACGTCACAGCCTTCACTGTATCGAGAGAGGTGAGGGCACACCGATGAATACGCATTACTCAGCCACACGTCGTGGAGTGAACATCTTGCTCTCTTACCGTTGAACGGACCGTTGAACGGTTGCTGCTGTGAGGTCACATCACGACTAACTTGGTGGGCTCACACCGATGGAACATTCATTACTTGAAGGATCTTCGAAGTACGCAGACGTATGTTTGTGCATAGACAAGCACATGATGAAAACCCTGTACCGTGCATTCACACACACACCAATCAAATGTAATTACGTCACTATGTCTCACACAAACACATACCCAAAAATCTCATATAAAAAAAATCTGAACGATCCCTGCACCAGACTCTTCAAGGTCACATCGCCTTGATGTTACTAAACAACAAAAAAAAAAGCAATTAATACGTCATAGTGGTGGGGGGAGGCCCAGAACCGGCTGTAATCTGCTACTGTAGCGTTTTATACATTGGCGGTAAGATACTAATGGCCCTGAGATCAAGAATAATGTGTTGGAGAGATACAATTAGATACAGAGATAGAATAGATACAGAGATAGAATTCAAGGACATGTTTCCAGTGGGAAGAAAAGATTAAATATATGAATTCAGTATAAAAGTGATGTATTTAACAGATGTGTTTCCACCAAACGAATCATAGTAAGTGAGATACCGTACAAACTTACAGCGTTACTCCAGATTTTATTCAAAAACTCATGTACAGTTTGGTGGAGAAAACCTGAAAGAATGTTAAGTTTTCTTCGTCTGATACTTCTCAAGAAGCAATAATCTATATTCGTTTTTTTCAGATTTGGTGATAGTTCACGGTTGGATTTCTAAAGCAAAATGTCTAAATTTTGTTGTGTTCCATGCTGCATAGGCATCTTCAGAAGAACAGATTGAAGATACATACACTTCTTTCTCCCGGCGAATAGCACATGTTGTATAATTCCTCAATTACTTATATAGGTGTCTCATACTGCAATGGTTTCAGTTTGCCTAAATTTTTCAAATGCGCGTTCCCTTGGAAATATCATCTGACGAATATGTCGAAATTGATTCAAGGTGCAGACGGCTTGGTTACTTTGATTTTTCGGAAAGGTGCATGAAGATCAAAAAGAGTAATAAGATTATTATTAAATGTTATTACCATATCGTCAACGGTATTCAACTTGAATATTTTATTCCGGTCGATATGCGTAAGATCAGCCAGAAAATAATATTTAACAAAATTTTAAAAATCGCGATACGAAATTCACTTGAAGTTATTATTTCTAGTTTCGAAATTCTTCATCGTGCACGAAATATCCATATTATCAGAGATTCAATGTTCACATTTAAAATTATTTCCGTATGTGAAATAATCAAGTATGGTTTGATTTCGAGTTGTGACTCTAGTGGGAGATGTAATTAACTGGGTGAAATTAAAGGTCGGATTGTGAGACATGATAAAAATATTAGATTTGGGTGGACGATATTCAACTGCAACTGCAACCTAATGATGTGATATCAATTTGACGATTGTTTTGTGTTCAGCACATTTATTTCTTGTCCCACGTTCCTGTTAACATGTTCAAGTTCACTAACGAATCGACAAATTTTTTAGGTTAACAGTGATCACCTCGAGATTCTTACAAAGTTCATGGTTCCTGTTCCGTGTTTCTGTATAGTATTCTGTGACATAACTGACATTTAACAATTGACATTGGTGGTCACGGATCATGAGAAAGAGTGTTACAATAGTAAACAATTATTAATTATCTACTTAAGCTGTAACCATCCGAATCGAGCTGGCTAAATGCGCCTATAGGGAAGCAAAGGCCAAGAACTTTGAGTGAAGTGAAGTGAATTATCTACTTTTAAAAAATGAGTGTAAATCCAATATTATTACAAAAAATACTCAGAGAAAACGCATCTGATCTACAAGATTTTTCTAAAGACCTGAAAAATTGGGGTGAAGAAATGAAACGCAAAGATGATTCTCTAAAAACAGATACTGGGGTAAGTGTCCCTTTAGCTGTTTCCACAGGAAATTTCATACAAGAACCAAACTCATTCCCATTGAACTTAGGCAAGGTTATAAGTTTAGTTGAAATAACAGTAAAATAATAGTATATTTGGTTTCAATAGAAATGCCTGAATGCATCAGTTAAGTACTTATAACAAATTTAAAATGGAAAAATATACTTACTTCAAAGCGACAATTCAGAACTACATTTTTAAGTCAGTATTCTCAAGGTGAAAGTTTGTATCGTAAGAATTAAGGTACTGTGCAGGTTCTCAAGAATGAATATATGAGAGGAACTTTCCTAATGGGAAGGTCTGGATTACCACCTATTCACACCCTAGGCCAAACTTTGAATGTATACCTTTAAGGGTGGTAATTTCCGAGACACCATCTTTAGGATCGACAAAAGGATCAATCCTCGAATATCAAGAATGAAACTTCCTAAGGTGGTTAGTTGGAAAGCTATGTTTTGACATCAACCGCCGAATGAGAATTGTCCTTTGTCTTTCACTGCAAGGCAACTGGATTAACTGGTGATCCAACACCAGACAGATGCAGTGAAAGACAGGATGAATATTGTTCGGTGGTCGCTGTCGAAGCCTGGCTTTGCAACTGACTGCCTTGGGAAGCTTCCTTTATCTGTGTTATTCCAGGATTGAGTATTCTGTCAATCCCATAGATGGCTTATTCGTAGGGGGAGATGCCATTACCTTTACTGTCAGTTTTGTCTTTTTTAGAACAATTGAGTGGTACAACGTGGCACCACTAATGAAAACTTTATGGGTCGAAACAGCTCTGTTGAATCACCAATTCCTCTAGTTTATAATTTATTGAAATGTTTGTAGAAGTTTAGGTATATGAAATCAGAATGAAATGTGCTGGCCCTTTTGTATCAAAATACTCTCTTTATTTGTATATTATTGAAAATTTTTACAGTAATTGACATATTAAATATGAAAAATAAAATTAAGAGAATGATTGATATAGATGAACTTGAAGTGTTTTCTTTTAACACTTGTTTAACTTACTGTTGTGGCATCAATTGGCAGTTTAACTATCTGGTCTAATGTTTGGTGGTAGAAAGCATATCAGAATTTTGGTGTTGTGAAAAATAATTTTCAATCTGAGGTTCTGCTTTTAAAAAAAATGCTCAAATCACTGAAGCATCTGGTAGTTTTTAGGAAAGAAAGTTTTTGGCTTTCTACCACTGTATCTTGATACAAAAAAGATGAGGGAATCTTCCAAAGAAAGGAAGGAAGTAGTCAATTTGAAAATAAGTAACTATATACATGGATGTGTAGATCATGCAAAGAAGTAACTTTCAGACACAAACTGGAAGAAAATCCTCCTGAAACAGCTACTTTCATATAAACATTGAATTACACAAAAGAAAAAAAATCTTTCGAAACAAATACTTCTATATGAACACTGAATTATACAGAAGATAGTTTTCTCTATTCGTAATATCAGTAGCATGCTCAAAATCAATATATGATGAAACTGTGACTGATCTCTATCTGTACATGGAAAATATTTGAGAACAAATATCATTAATGTAACAGAACTTTAAACAATGATATTTAATTTTTTTCTGTTTTTCTGTGCATTTGTGTGTTCTTGCCATAAGAGCTGCTAGATAAATATTGAAAATTGTAGGCCTGAAATTTATCAGTTAAAAAAGAAAGTGATATCAGAAAATGATCAGAAATTAACAATGAGTATGAAATGCAGATGTATAAGATCACTAATAATAAAAACAATGAGCAAAATTTCAATAAAAAAAAGATGGTGAAAATTTTAAAAAAGAATGAGAAAAGTGATTCCAAACCCAGCTACCTCACGACATTTCCATTGTTAATATCTACTATCATCTTCGAGTGATAAGAAACATATTGCTGAGACTTTGAGACTATTCACAAGCCACTTCGGTGAGTTTTTCCCCATTGTTTTTCTTTATTTTTATTGATGACATTTCCATTTCAAGTCTTGATTTGTTTTCTATGCAACTTTCAATTTCATACTCATTATTTATTTCTTGTATCATTCCTTTTTTAACTAACTCATCTGAATAATTTGGTACCAGATTTTTTTTCCATTATTTATCTCCTCTTGGGTTTTGAATCTGTTTACCCATTTTCATGCTGTGAAAGTGTGAAGCCCTAACATTCACCAGCAGAAACATTGTTGATCATATTCAAACAAAAATTGTCCAACTTTTGTTATGACTTGAATTTCATCTCTGGCATGACTATTATAATGAATATCAAAATATGTGTCCTTGCTTTCTATTAGTTATGAACTTATCTTTTTTGTTTTGATGAAGTATTTTTATGGATTGTTACCAATGTTTCAGTCGTCGGTTATCAATAAAAATGTTTCCAAGTACAGCTTGTCAAATCTAGGAAAAGACTTGAGAAATCTTTCTTCTGTTTAGAAAAAAAATCTGTTTATCCGGTAACCAGCTGTCGCATCCCTACGAACAACAACCCTCAGAAGTCAAAACTTGTGCGAGCTAAGGATTAACGAGGTCTTACCTTTTAACGTGTGATTCCTCTCTCTCTCTCTCTCTCTCTCTCTCTCTCTTTTATATCATATTTAGGTTGAGTCCTTGATTTCGCCAAAATGCTTTTTTGTGCACATTGTATTATTATCATACGAACCGGCCAACTAAGTCGGAAGCCGGGCGGTATGACGTGGGTGCATTGTTCGGTCTCTCAATCGACCGCTGTGTGAGTTGGTGATTCAAGCCGCAGACTGGACGATCGATTTTCACTCGCTATCGTCCAACCCGTGTTAGAAATCACACGTTGAAAGGTAAGACCTCGTAAGTCCTTAGCTCGCACAAGTATCGACTTCTGATGATTGTCGTTCATATGGGTGCAACAGCTGGTTAACGGAAAAAACATATTTTAAACATATTCAAACGTATTTATATCAAAATTCAGCAGTCAACTGGTAAAGTGAGGAAAATTTCAAAAGCTGGTTCAACGAAGGTGAAAGTTATTGGAAAACCAAAGAAGCTTACCAAAAGTGGAACTACTAATTATGCTGCTTGGGATAAATTTGATGTTGACGCTGAACTACAAAAACTTGAGGAAGATATAAATGAAGATTCGGAACTGACAGATGAATGTAATGAGAACATATATGATGAAGCACTTATTGAAAAAGAAAAGGTGAGTTTTACAAACAATAAAAAGTAACTACAATAAAAAGTAACTGATGAATGCGCTAGACGCGAATCATCAACTTCATATATAGGTCCTGAACCAGATCTGGGGGTACCAAAATGATTGGTACGAAACCAGATTAGGACATGGGCCAATAAGAAGCACACAGAGTACTGGACAAAAGTACCTGGTAACAAACACAGTAGAACCTTCATTAGGGAACCGTCCGAGAAAAGAACCGAAGAACTACTTCAATATAAGTAGGGATTGGCTCAGAATAATTACAGGGTTATCAACTGGTCATTGTCCGCTTAGAGGACACCTGAATAAAATGGGGCTGTACAACGGAGACCTTAGCTGCAGATTATGCAACGAAGGGATACAAACAGCCCTACACATCTTATGCAAATGTGAGGCACTGAATCACAGGAGGCAGGCAATATATGGACGTACAAAATTACG